GTATCAGGGTCAGCAAGAAGTATGCTACGATTTTTTAGGAATATTTTTTTGGCAGTTAAATTGTGAGGGTGGTAGGTTAGTATAAGTTTGGTACGATCCTCATTGTTGTTAGGGCGAGTTTTAAAAGCCTCTTTTCGTGTGATCGTGCTGATGCGATCTAGTGCTGAGACCAGAGTAGTTTCAGGATAGGATCTGGAGCGGAAGAAATCCATCATTTCATCGGCTCTTTCTAGAAATTCCTCATCAATTTGGCAGAGACGCCGTAGTCTAAGAAGTTGTGAGAAAGGTATGGAGTCTTTGCATGATTTAGGGTGGGAGGATGAGTACAATAGGTAACTATGGCTGTCAGTAGGTTTGTAGTAGGCAGATGTAATCAATTCATTTTCTTTCAATGTTATGGTGATATTATTATGATGGTGCTTGATTGAAATACGTATATCACTTGAGTGTTTTTGAACGTGCGAAATGAAGCCATTAGAATAGGGTGACCAAATGTCCCGTAAAAACGAGATTGTTCCGTTTTTTCACGATGGTACCCTTTGTCCCGTAAAAGTCTCTCGGGATACCTAAATGTCCCGGTTTTTAAACCAAACACATTTTCAAATCATTAAAACTTCCTAATTTATAATATAACTTCAAGTAATATTTTGGCTAGCTGTGCAGCCAGTGCAGTAGTGATGTGGTCTCACGTGTTGGCTGCAGTGTCCCTTCACCAGTGTCCCTGCCATAGATCTTATATGTAAATGTATAGCGAAAGACAAGAGACTTTAAGACGATGCGGGTGGGTGGGTGGGGGGGGGGTGTATAACTGCGCGGAAACCAATTTTGCTACCGCTACGTATAATGTGTTACTCCTATGTGTGATCCCTGCCGGCCTGTTCGTGTCAGAGTGACAGGTGTTTGTTTTGGGTGTTGAACTTTATTATTTAATTTATATTACCTTCTCATGTCGACAATAATTATGCCCAAGCGTCAATGTCAGTTTATGGAGGAGTATTCCAAAGAGTGGAACTGTATTAAAAAGGGGCGCTATGAAAGTGAAGCCGAGTGCACAGTTTGCAATAATGTTTTTAGTATTGGTCATGGGGGACGTTCAGACATAAAACAACACATCAGATCAGTGACACATAGGAAAAGACCCAAGTAGATTTCTAGGTTATATTTCAGAGTTAAAATGACCTTATTTCAGTATACAGTTTCCGGTGTAGGCCCCCGGACCCCTCTTTAGCAGGAGGGTATTCCCCGCCCCCCCCCCCAAAAAAAAACCAAAAAAAAACCAACAAAGGTTATTTTTCAGAGCTAAAAGGACCTTATTTCCGTATACAGTTTCCGGGGTAGGCCCCCGGACCCCTCCTTAGCAGGAGGGTATTCCCCGCCCCCCCCCCCAAAAAAACCAAAAAAAAACCAACAAACAAACTATCCTTGAAAATGTCCCGTTTTTTCCAGCTCATGATTTGGTCACCTACATAAAAACATTATATGATCAAAAAGTCTTATTTCTTCATAACAATAAACAATTCATAAAGAATTCATAAACAACACCAAATTAGTGATTTAAAATAATGCCGGCGGTTTTCTACCTATTCCTGGTGCGCCTTGGGAAAGAACGTGAACATGAAAGAACTGCTTCTGAACGTATAGGCACAGATTACGCCGTAGGCCTTTTCTTTGTAGCTTTTAGTAGAGACTTTTAGCAGATGCAGTTCAGCAAGTGTTACCCATCATCTGCGTTAGGTGTAGTAAATCATTAAGAAATACAATGAGGCAGAATCATGGTGAAATATGTAGACGGCATGGGAAGAATTAGGCGGCTACTCAAATCAACACGTTATGTAAAGGACAACTGAAGTTGTAAGGGACAGAAGTTCGTTTGAGTTTGACCTCTGGTGTCAGACAATTCCTTACGAGGAATATGTAAGTTTTGGTATCATTAGGATGTAATGGTTTAATCGAAGTGTACTGTAGGTTAATTTTGATCAGCATAACCATGGTGTAAAAAAACAAACAATTGCGGTAAGGTCGAAAACAAGTTTTTTGGAACTTTACTGGCTGATTTCAATAACATGTTTAAAACATGTACGTTTGTGTACTCAGACACTTTATACTACTATGCCACTGCATAAGTGCATGGATTCCAACCCTATTAGTGAAGCTCTGACGTCTGACACCATTATTGTTTTAGGAGATGTTTGGTGGGGGTAACTCTGTTTGTCAATTTAAAATAAAGTAGGAAGTGTTCGTTCAGATGTTGTCCGAGATCTGTGTCAGGGTGCAGGACCGGATTTATGTATTAGCTAAAATAACTTAAAGCTCAAGGCCTCACAATGCTTCAAACATTTTGTTGAGCGATAACTTGAAGTGCTTGTCTGCTCATTTGAATAAATAAAAAGCAAGCCAATATTTCTGTCGTCAACGTTGTCAAGTTTTGTGATAACTTCTGGTGTAAAATTTTAATGAAGTTGATCTCCACGTTCAAATGAGCTTACACCTACACCAAGGTTTTACTCAGTCCGGAACTTTTGTGAACAATTTAAATAAATAAATCAAACTTATTTAACACTAATTAAAAAAATTAATCCATCGCGATAATCAAAGATATTTTAATATGTAAGCAACTACTTTCTTCACTACTGTTTTTATTTTAATATCACGTGCGATTTAATTTATAATTCACTTAAGTCTTATTTATTAATTAAGACTTAACTAATAGCCTACTTCATAAATTTATTTAAAAAATTAACAGCAAAGGATGTGTCTCTAAAGTCAACTAAGTGTTGATGGTACTGAGTGTCGTCCATGGCTTGAGATGTAAATAGTTTTAAATATACATTTGTTTTGTTTTATTCAATTAATGTATGTCAATTAATAATTATTTTAAAAAAAAATATGTTTGTTAAACACAGCGTGGTGAGCCCTAGGCTGGGCTACCACGCTATATAAAACCACGTATAATAATAATAATAATTTGTACCATAATGTATTCGTGGATTTTAAACTAATCAATTCGTACCCCCACTCGCACAGCAACAACAACATACACACACCGCCCATGGATAAATAATTGCACCGACGCCTTGAGAAAACACAAGACTGTATTCTTAGGAACAAAAAAGCAATGACCCAGTTTGAATTGACGTGACGTCAAGACCTCTGACGTTTATGGTCACGCTAAATATAAATGAGGTACTGTTAAGGAGAAAGAAGTACGCTCAAATCGTAATCTTCTGGGACATATTAAAGTAATCCGTTAACAAATGTTTTAATATTAAAATTTATGAATTTAATAAGCTGAAACGTATAGAACTTGATTAATTTGTTAAGTTGGTTAACCATTTTATTTATTTATCACATCATTTATAACGCGATCAGCATAGGACCAATTGGAAAAGCCGAAAAATACGCAGATTTATGTCGAGTGATTTGATTGGTTGAAAAGTTGGTTATGCCTAACAAAACTGCTCTGCACAACATCAATTTGCGCATTACTGGGAGAAAGCCACTATGAAATCGTAGCGAACCCCAACCTTTTATTTTGTGTGTGAGAGTGATTGTTTGTGTGAAATTGATGTTCTAAGAACGAAAGTTTCATCTACAAACATTGTTTTGAAATAATTACGTAAGTATTATATGTAACATATTGTGTGTTAGTTTTCTTTGATTACATTTTGCTACTTTTAATGTTACCTGTCGCCTATATTAGGCCAACCGAGGTCGGCTATATTGAACGGTACTGTGAATTATTTTTTGTAAAGTAAGTACAGATCAGGTAGAAATGTCTTTCTAGCCTCGGCTCCAATAGAAATTTGAGTAAGCCCACAATTTTTATAGTTTGTTTAAATCTAATAACCGAAATGTAGAAAATAAACCTTTTACTTTGACATTATTGCAATTAACATAGTCATAGTCATAGTATGTAGCCAATAACAATTCTTCTAGTCTTGTATAAGTTGTGTGTTAGTCACGTTCGGTATTGTTAATTAAGCAGTGAGTGTAGTTAGTGCCATATGGCATATGGCAAGGCATATTGTTGTAATTTACTTCCTTGTACCGCGAACCGGTAAGTAGATTTGGTGTTTCACCCTTGTCACAGCCAAAAAGTTAATTATAATTATACAGATTTATTTATTTTAGACATGCTCATAGTTTTGAAAAAGAAATACAGATTATTTGGTCTTCCTCCAACTCCCAAGTGTGACTAGGTAGACTAGGCCTGTTTTAAAATACGAATGCCTTTAAAATATTTATTGAGCTAAATTATTATTTGTTTTAAAAATTAACCTAAGCCTAAGGGCAGGATAAATTAACTGTCAAATTTTGGTTGTTAGGGCCCTGAGTGGTCATTACAATGTTCAATTGTGATGTTAACCAATATCTGTAATGTATTGTATTGTAGCGGTAACGAAGCTCCTATTTGGAAATAAATGAAAAGGTCTAAAAGCAGTTGTTTTATGTAACTTTTACACTTCATCTATTAATTTGAAGATTATTTATTAAACTAGTAGCGATATGGTTTTAAATATTTTTTTTATTCAATCCCAGGTTGTGTACCAAGCTCAACTTTCGACGAAAATTGTAAATTTGGAAAGAATTCACATCTTTCTTCTTCATTTATATTCGTGATGAGAAAAGAAATTGATAAGGCAGTGGAGACATTCCACAGGATCGCTTTTGGAACCAAAAAGAATGGGACTAAAATTATTTCTGAAAGTAAACTTGCGTCTTTCATAACAGTCCTTACAGAACTGTTATTAGCCAGATATGAGAAAAACTGGTTTCTAGATAATCCAGAAAGAGGTAGCGGCTTTCGTTGTATCAGAGTCAACACTCAGAGCATCGACCCAACAATTCTGGAATGTTTGAAAAGATCAAAAATTGGAATACCTAAGTGCTTATCTCATACAGAATTGACTATTTGGGTTGACCCTGGTGTTGTGTCTTTTAGAATCGGTGAAGATGGTAGCATTGGGTCTGAGGTGGTAGATGAGGAAGTATACAACACTAGTCTCAAATCCAAAATGTCAAGCCAGAGATCGAATTCTGAATCTGATGAAGGCTTCTCGTCTCGCAGTTCTAGTCCAGAGTCTTCGGCTTCTGAGCGCTCGGGGTCTGTTAGCCCACCTATGAGTAGGTCCCCTGTCCTTACCCCTGCTAAGTCCAGTAGTCCACTGCCACCAGCTGCAATGGAGTACAATCCATATTCCCCACCCGTCCAGGTATCTTATCCCCATCGCTCTCAAACTCCCTCGCAGCAGATCGCAGGTCTGTCTCCTTCCGCTCGTCACTTTCAGCCATCTGGATCTCAGAGTCGACCCTTGATGTCCCATACCTCCATGACTTCTTCTCCTCAAGGCGACTTCTTGGCTGGTCAGGGTCACATTCCAATATCATCAACTCAGCGTTCGTCGTCATACTCTCGACCTAGATCCCTGTTCCCATCTATGGAGAGCGGCAGCATGTCACATGGTTCTGTGATGGATGGGTTTGGAAAGGTGGCTTTTAACCCATACTCCATGCCAATGAACTATGGCGCTAACCTGCACCAACCCAGCTTTTATGACATTCCAGCCATGGCATAGTGGTTATTACTGAATATCTATAATTGTGTGTGTGTTTATTAGTTACTTTCCATTTTAGTAATAGTAATTGTACATCCATTTTTCAAGAGACCTAGGCAGGTGGAAATTGAAAATATACTTTCAATGTTTTCTGTCTTTATAAACTTTATATTCTAAGTGTAATATTCTCAATATAATTTTACCTCTAATTTTAATTTGGCATATCCTTAAGCCCAAGAGTTTTGGTATGTGTTTTCAGGCAAATTATGCTGCAAAGAAATTGGATTAAAACAAGATAACTCGGAATAAGTGTTGACTTCGCCCTGCGAGTTTTTAAGTGGCTATAACTGTAACGTAAGCTATTGTTTATTAGGTATTTTCATGTGTGAAAATTTCATATCAGAATCTGCTGTAGTTAAACTTGTTCTCAGCAATTCCGAGCATAAGGAATCTTCCAGGAAGTGCATTTACTTCAATGAGTGCCATTTTTTTTTTAAATTTTATGGGCAAGGTTTTTCACAAATAGCAGCAATAACTTGGGGTTTAAGGATATTTATTCTATTTTATTTCTTAAGTGTTTTTTTTTTTGTCTTAAATATTTTTTTGTCAATGCCCAGGTCAATGTTCTGAAGTATGGCTGGTTAAAATTATTTTGAAACATTAAAACAAATCTGGTCTGTGCTGGAACAATTTTATTTTTGTTGTGGAATTATGCCCACTTTCACAACCATACTTCATACTCATTTGATCTGGGGGTAAAAACTAAAGCAAAATTATATCTTACAAAAATATTGCCAGAAAGCCAAAATTAGAAACCCTTTTTTTTTTTTCAATTTTGGACGCAGAGTCATGGGTTGGGTGGTCTTTGAGTTGTGGACATTTTGAAGATGACTAGGTCCTTACATTTTATTGTGATTTTGTATTCATATTGCAGCAGGTCATTTCCTCTCCATATAACTGTAAAATTTGTAAAGGTATATCTTATCATGATCATGATGGACATGTATATTAAGTATAAGAAAAAACTTTCTGTGCAGTTTTCCATAGTTGATTATGCAATGCGTCATGTACATAACATTGTACACCAGATGAATTTTGTCTCATTGTTTGTTGACCAGGTAGTAAATAGGAGTGTTGATCTCAGGTTTGAAATGGCAGTTAAGAAGTTGGTAATAATTTTATGACATGAGTACATACATATATAAATAATTGTCATCGTTATAAATATATATATATAAATATATTAATAGTAGATCATTTTGAACAATGGTGTAAACTATCTTCAGTTAAGCGGCTCCAGACCACAAAAACTGTGATACATTTTGATGCCTTCACATTATGATATTAGTCATTATGTTGCGTGTCACCTGTTAAAATCACACATTGTTGTTATCCATACGCTTTCAGCCATTATTTTTATGTCACCTAACATCTGCCGCTAAACTGAAGAGTACGTTAATCTGCAGTAATTACTAAATCAATGAGCAGCTTTTTAAGAGTATTATTAAAAAATGGAGTTTTTATTATATATATATATTTATGTATAAACATGGACACGATCTTACATATGGATATAATCATGAATGAGACACTTGGCTGCTATCTTTTCATGTGAGCAGACGGAACCAAAATTTGATGAGAATGTGCTGGAGCATGTTTTTGTGTGGAGTATCTATTATACCTATTCCATGTTTGTCCTGACACAATTTGTATGAAGATTGAGTTTGTACATACACCACCAACTCATGTGTAAAATTTCATTTATTTATACTGATGGACCACTAGCAGGATTTAGTTGGCTGATTACCACTGAAACTCACAATACAGGTTTTATTAGCATTTAAAAAAAAAAATGGTGCTTTGGTGGTATACTTTCACTTTGAACAGTTCATAAATTGACCAGTGTTTTAGAGACATGTATTTTTTTTTTGGGCCTGCGCTCATGTTTCTTCCCTTCATCTGCGCTAAGGCATTTTAATGAAATTATAGTCTTTCAGTTTTTCGCTCATTGATGTTACTGCTGTTCTGGACATTTGATTCTGTAATTAATTTTCAAGATGTGTAGTAAAGGACTTAGAATTTTAATACAAATTGTTTTGCCATGTGTGACTTTAACTATGCCTACAGGAGTTAAAGCTCAAAATGTATAATGCTCTCATATCATGGTTTGTTCATGAAAAACTGCAATCCACTGCCTATATATGTATAAAGTATCATAGGTCCCTATTTATGGTTCCATAACAATTCAGGTAGCCATATTTTATGTATAAGGTTTTGCATGGAACTTGCACGCATGAATGGATTATTCTGCCTGTAAATATGTCATTTTCAAAAGGCATGTCTGCTCTGAAAATAACAGATTTTTAATTTGTACATCAAATTTTAAGGTTTTTAGTTAGTGCTCAGTATTTTAAAGTTTAAGTTTTTAATAAAAGGGCATGTCCGATATTTATAGCTGCATATTAAACTATGCCTTTCCAGTTTTCTTAATTTCGTTTTCGCAATGCACATAGGCTGCATTTGCTAAAGGCTAGTGAATATTTCATGCATATTTTTAGCATGTGGGAGCATTATACATAACAAGCATGTGTTGGTTTTTGTTTCATTAAAAAAAATATTTTGGTGAGAATTATGAACATATCAGTTGCATGTTCCTTTAAGAATTTACTGCACTAACTTTTGTTCACCTTGTTTTTACTTGAAGCAGCAGTTCCCAAGCAAATTACTTCAACATTTTCTGACAGTGTGCACCATTTTATTTCGATTAAATTCTTATAACAAAGTTGATGTGTGACTATTTTAGCCACAAGATTTTAAACACATTACCAACTAAAATTGGGGTTAATTTTAAATTAAAAAAAAAAAGTATCTAACAACTAAGTGATTGTTTGGGAACCATAAACAGTATTGCTTTGGCTCTAATTCCATGTTGTAGGACTTACTTGTGTGCTCAGTAATATGATCTCCACATGAATGTTGTTTGTGCATGACATGAAAAGATATCTTGCCCAAGAGCAATCTGATGTAATGGAAGTTGATGGCTGAGTAATTATGACGGAGATTGTTTTTTTTATAATGACTTCCCTTGTTGTTGACTAGTCACAATTAAAAGATGCAATGGCAGAGCTGTTAATGGTGATGCTGTGGCGGCTTGGCTTTGTGGCACTTAACCCTGTACTGTGTTCAAACAAATTTTGATTCAAAATTCACTGTAATGCTATTGACTGATTAACTATGGACTTTATGAAGAGCAGGTTTAACCCTGATGTAAATTGCTTTATCTTGCACTATATGATAAAAAAACAGACAAAAAAAAGAAATTGTACAGATAATGATGTTTGATGATGTCACATGAATAAACTTGCTTTAGTTTGAAATATTCACAACTTGTTTGTCAGTAACTACATTTACGTCACTCTAGATTTTGTATCATAATACTGGGGACACTAACACAAAATTATATTTCCAACATGACATTGCAAATAACATAGTCATCACTACTACCACACAGCAGGCTCACACCCGTTAAATCAATCTACCTCTGTGAATGAAATTCGTTTGCATGCATGATAGCCATGCTGAGTTTTAATAGTTGAAAAGTGACTTTTGTCTTCGATTGACCAGTCAGTATAGTGAGTCATCTTGGGGTTCTAATAGCTCTGGATGTCACTGAACTCCTCTAACTTTTCTTAGTAGGTTACAAACTATATTTCACTCATTGCCATGTTTAAATTCTGCCAACCCCTCGTTTCCCCCCCCCCCCATTTCATAATATACGCCTGTAACCTCCTCCCCCCCCCCCTCCCCGCGGATGCTCCTGTTAGATGTGTGAAGTGTAACGTGTTTAATAAGTAGTCTCAGGCCACTGCACAATGTCGACCAATTACATTTGGTTGTATTAACAAATTATGTCTTCGCTAATGAGACGTCCGGTGAATTTAAAAAAAGTTTCAAGTGATGCTTCAAAATAAAAAAAATTACACTGAAATGGTACTGGGGAACAATTATTTACTGTAACAAATGAAAGGGGTTCATATGAAACACAAAAAAAACAACAACATTGGTGGTAGAAAAAAGTGGGCCTATGTGAAATCAATCACTTGTGCCAAACGAAAATTCAAATTTGATTGTTTGGGAGAATCTAACCCCCCCCCCCGAAAAAACAACAAAACATACTCATATTTAAAAGTATACATTGGGTAGTGTATTTAAACTTATGTGCTTAAGTACGGTACACGTATCGTAGGCCTATCTCTGGCGAATAGAAAGCTGCCAGGCTGGGGCATATCAGTATCAGAGCCTGATGAAAGCAAAATAAGTTTTACAAGGCAGTCATGAGACAACTGTGAACCAGGCACCCCACCCCCTCGCCCTCAGGTCTTTATCTGGCTAAGCTAGTGTATAATAAATGCCAATGCAACCTCGTCGATCATACCCTCTTTAGGGTTTGAAGGGATACCCCCAACCTCATCTAATTTAAAAAAATAAAAAATATATATCATTTAAATCATACTTTAGTTTGACTGGGTCTGCGGGTGGTAGTCGTACTTCCTCTGGACTAATGCTCCTAATGTCAAGCCCACTAGCCGTTACTTCATCATATTCTAAAATCTAGATTTTTGTTTAGTTTTCAATGTATTGGTGTTGACCTTTGTAAATACTAGGTCTAAGTTGGGCAAATAACTGCACTGAGGCAGCTATTGAAAACACGAAGGGTCTTATGTAGTTACACTATTACTATTTTAAAAGTATGAACACCTATATACATTGCTAATTAGCTTTAACCTTACCGAGGGAATACGGTACCGGTAATGATGACAAAATAGCTGTGTAACCCTCCACGCACACGGTTAACCACATGCCCTATGGGTAACGTGTTGCTATTTTTAGCCCGTTTCATAGGTCACCCTTCAGCTGAGGCGAACAACACTACGTCAGCAGTATTTTTGTTCTGCATCGCACCAAATGTAGGTAGCGCTGGTTAACCCAGCCAATGCAAGGGCAAACAAAGTAAGATTCACGTCTGTCTGGCAGCTAAGTCGTATGACCACAAGAAACTTGACGTTGGTTACCTGAAATTTGTTTGAAAGAAATTTCATGGACGGAAATTTGATTTGATCGAATCATTTTTTCAGTTTACACGATACATTTTGAACGCACTATACTATATAGTAAAACAAAATAATGCGTTCAAAAAGAAATGTGACGCAAAATTTTGCGTCGACGAAATTTCTTTCAAACAAATTTCCGGATACGCTTGACGCTAATATCATCGGTTAACAGTTGTATATGCTTAGATTTAGATGTGGAATATTTTAGCTACTACCCCAATTTATATAAAATAAATAGGCCTACTATATTATATATTTTCTTTACTCAGCAATACTGAGTATAGGATACTATTTAAATAAAAATGGGTTGCTGAATTTAGGAATCTGTATTATATTCATGCATATATATATATATATATATATATATATATAATATATATA